TATATATCGATGGTCATAAGGCCAATTGTCGTAACCCTCACTTTGGTTAAAAATGGGATTTTAACGAAATATTAAATTTCATATAATTTTCTTGTGTTTAACCAATTGTCGTAACCCACCATACTATTTAACTACTATATTTTTATCATTTATCATTTATTTTAACGTCGTAACCCATAATGATAAATAGTGACAAATGCTGTAAGCCACATACAAATATTATAATATAAAAACGTAAGCCTCAATACTTTTTTCTTCATTATGCCACATTGTTGTAACCCACATGCTGTAACCTAAAATGTTCATCAAAATAATATTATATTATTCCGAATTTGCTCGTACATGACATAGGTACACCAATAACTTATTACTAACATGAAATTATTGAATAATTAAACAAAACAATGCAATATTATAAATTATAATATTTATAAAGACTTAATTTTTACGTTTAGAAATAAATAAAATAAAATTCGCTTCTCGAATGACAATAAAAAAAATAAAAATTAGGTATAACAACTTGTTTTCATTTAAAAAAAATTAAAATTAGTTTCCCAAATAACAAGAAAAAAAAATATAAAAACCATTAAACCAGGTTGGTATCATCTTCATCGTCTGTTTCTGCCAGTGCATCTCTAACTGTACTTTTCCTCGACATAGATAAATATTCCTGGTGATACCTTGGTGGAATCGCATTTGTTTCACAAAGTTTTACCAGATCTTTATATTTTGCTTCAGATATTGGTAGTTTTGAGTTATACGCCTGCATCAACACACCAATTTCATTTCTTTTTCTTTTTGTTCTTTTTGCTGTAACATTTATAATTTCAAACTCAGCTTCCAACTCGTAACCAAATGATTTGTCATTTTCACCATCACTTTTTACTTGTGACAATATTTTCCATCCTCGGCGTATTCCCTAACATATTAATAAAAATGATAAACCTAATATTGAATATAAATTCAGAGCTTGACTTAATACAATTGTTTAAACTAATTAATATTTGCTATCAAAAAGTTTTATAAAATAATATATTTACTTACGTGTGCCATTATTTGATTTTAACCTGATTTACAACTTCAATACACGTTTACGTCCGCATTAATTTTAAATGTCGTGCCGCTACAACTGCTGCGTTATTACTAATCAGTAATCACAATCAAATCAAAGCAAGCAATAAACACAATATAAAATAATATGACAAGAAAACCGAAACCTGCTGTTGTTGGTTGATCTAATATTATTATTGTTATTAATATAAATAATAGTAATACGCATATTGAATACTCGTATCAAAATAATATTATTTTTAAATTTTAATTAACTTTATCCACTAGCTTATCATTTTAAAAATAGATATCGTAAATAATATTTTTACAAACCAAAAATGTTTGATCTAAATTTAAATAACTAGGTATTATGAACTGTAACCAAAAAGTACAAATGTCAAATGCAGTAACCCAATAGTAATACTATTTAATTAATAACGCTATTATAAATATTATGTGGTCAAATGCTGTAACCCTCGACTAGGTCATAAATATAACTAAATTAACCATACAAATAACTCTTACAAACTTTCAATTCTTAAGAAAACTGATTCTCGGGTATCACAATAAAAATAAATAATTAACTGGTAAG